ATCTACCCCATTCTGGAACCTCTACTCACCAAGTTACTTTTCTCTTTTGCAGCTGAAGTCCCATTCCCCCCCCCTTTCACCTGTAAATAATAAAAATACACTTACCTTTTCTTTCATTGTATGGTTTCTCGGTCTGGTTATTCGGTTCTGCCATTTGTTGAACACTCTCAAATCTTGACAATTAGAAACAGATATGATGTGAAGTCGAGTTTATTTTCTATATAAACATAACAACATTCTAATAACTTAAGGTGACATAGTTACTTAATTATGGCATATAATTTAAATATATGCCTGAGAAACACATAATATTGCCCCTTTAAAAAATAATCTGACATACTTGTTCAGTTCAGTGTTTATATTTGAACCTGTCTGGTCGGCTGATCTGTGCAGCTTGTATTTATGGAACAAGAGCGATGTGCTGGAAGTCAAGTATCGAACTTTAGCGTCAATCAGTCTTATCAGTCTACCAGGAAATAGAAAATTAAAAGAACAAAGACAAAGCAACTGGACTTCTGAAGCTGAAGACAGGTGGAGCTACAAGATTTAACCTGCATTACTCGAGGTGAGTGTCGTTGGTATTACAGTATTACAGTATATGGATCGATCCATATACCCCCACCTCCCTGTTGCAAATCAGATGAAATGAGATATGAGTGTTTAGACTGAGGTCCCTTTGAACATCAGACATTTATCTGTTTTAATACCACATCCTGAAAACAGGATTCAGTAAGTTAAATTTAAGACCCTTTAAAGACCTTTTAAGACCGTTAGGAATGACATTTAAGACCAAACTGATGCATTAACAAAACCATTCAAATGGTCCCAGACATTTTAACAAAGAAACCTTCTATTGCTATCAGTTTAGCTGTTAAAGAATATTTAATTTTAAAACAAGAAAGCCAAATTATTTTAATGAAACGGTCATATCTATGAGACCTTCATATTGACTGCTGTGGACTGCTTCCAATGCAAAAATCACTGATATCCAGCCAAGTCTCATTGAAAACACACTTTCCCATGTTAAAGGACAAGCATGATTTCTTTGTTTTTTTGGGCGGGTAAACACACTGCCGTATGTGGGGGGTTGGTCATTTAATGGTCATTTATTAGGTTGGTAACATTTGAAGCAAGTCCCAAGCAGTTTGGTCAAACATTTCCTTGTAGACTGCCTGCAGGAGCATTTATAGCAAGTTGTGAGTTTATTTCTATTCCTGAAGAAGGCACAAGAAGAACGTGCAAACTGCATTTGGATGTCTTGAAGTAATTATATAAAGAACTTCTTGCTGCACCACAACAGTTCTAACATTACTTCGTTGTACAGTGCAGTTTATTAACAAAAACAAAAAAAGTAAAAATAACAAAAGTGTTGAACAAAAAGAGTTATTTAACGTCACTCATGTAAAGCTCTTGAGGTTGGCAGTACTGGAATTGGTAATTCACACAAAACTAAAATGATAAAGTTGAAGATGACTTGTTTGCATCTGCTGCTGTCTATAGCTGGAACTAAACTCTGGCAGCCATGTCTGGGTGAATCATATGATGACACTTTTGATATTCCCTCTTTTTTGTCAGTGCTCCACTGTCATCCATTTTCATTGCTAGAGACCTCACATATACCATGGCAATCCCAAAATGAATTGAATCTCCTTATTTTGCTGCCGTTGGCCCATGACAGCTTCTCATCAACCCATCAGTGATGATTTCTTTCTTTTTTTTAAGAAAAAAATCTCAATAAACTACTTTTAAGCTTAAACTACTTTTACTTTCTTCCTGAAGGCATGATTACTCATTTGAATCAATGTTAAAGTGTTATGAGTACAGGACAACACAGGTCATTAAGGATGACAGTCTTCAACTTTGAACATGTTCAATTTGGGCAATAAATTATCTCTAAAATTAGTTGAAAACTTGTGGGCATCTTAAACTCTTTTCAGTTTAGGTTCCATACAGAAGCATGGGAAGTTTTCATATGAAAAAATCATGTACAGGTCAAACAGGTCAAACCATGCCAGTGGTAGATAAATATTAAAAAAAACGATTCACATCTATTTTATTAGTATATTAAATTGTAAATGCTGGGGTAAAGGTGGGTACAATGCTGGCAGAGTTAGGAATGATGTAGGCGGAGGTAGGAAACACAATATTATGCTTGGAGTACAGTTCTRCACAAAAGAAAAACTTTTGAAAAATGCCACTGTCCAGATCACTGGCCGCAAATGCTTAGAATTCAGTGAGACTGCAACTAAAAGTTTGCCTATGTTTTTGTGAATTAAATTTATTGTACATATGTAGCACCAATTGACAACAAAYGTCGTCTCAGGGCATTGTACAAAAACCTTCAAGTTGACAACTATTCTCCTACAGTCACAGCCCACTGAGATACTGACTTTTCCCCAACATTCTGCGCAATGCATCATGACCTAAGTAAAAAATAAGACTTCAGACGGTCCGTTCACATTTCTTGGCTTATTGAGGGCTGACACTGTGGATCAGTGGCAAGGGCGGAGTGGGTAATCGGGACAATCGGGATGATTCCCACTGGGCTGAACCATTAAAGGGCCGGTCCGATGGGCGCAGTTAGTACGGGGATGATAGGATGAAAAAAATCTCMGATCAAAACTGATGATGAACTTCTCTGTTAGTTCACTGACGCTCCCACAGAGCTGCAGCAGCAAAGAGCCCCCCCTCCCTTTTTCACACACAGAGATGGAGGAGCAAAGACAGCCCGCTCCTCCCTCCCTTCCTCCTTGTGACAGAGCGTAGCGGTGTCGCACACACAGTCAAGAGTTTATTCTTCTATTCTTGTGGGGACTTTGCATTGACTTCCATTCATTTACCGGTCATTACTACAGCCTAAAACCCTGACCCACCAACAGTGTTTTCCCCAACAGGGACTGGGCTTTCCCCCCCATAAGGAAGAGTGGGTCCTCACCACCAGGCTGTGTTTACTGGGAAAATGGTCCCCACCAGNGATATTTTTGGTTTCTCATTTTAACATTTGGTTCAAACAAGCAGCTCATCAAACAAGAATGACAATGAGAACATGCAAGCTTATGCTCACGTACACACATTTTCACAAAATAACTTTCACCCTCCATAAAAATACAAAAAAAATTTCACACACAACTAATGTTTGACAGCATAGTGGAATATGTTAAGTGGTGGATTTTAGTATTGCATCATGCAGAACAAAMAATGTCTTCAGTTAAACAAGAAGCTTATTGAACAGTGAAAACAAGAACATGCAACCTTGTGCATGCACACATTTAACAAAATAAGTTTTACCATTCAGAAAAATACTAAATATTTTTTTACACCACAAATATTTGACAGCTCGGAACAGTGAAACGTGTTAACAGTGGTGGATTTTAGTATTTCATCGTGCAGGGAAAAAAAAAGTTTTTCATGTTATCAACATATGTCTTCTGTTCAAACAAGTTTATCAAACAAGAACATGCAAGCTTACACACACACTGGAACACAAACTCATACATACACAAACTCATATGCATGTATGCAGATGCACATTTTCATCAAAAATACATCTCACCATCTCATAAAAGTACTAAATCTTTTTCACACCACAAATATTTGACAGCATAGAACAGCACAATACATTAACAGTGGTGGATTCCTAACTGGTGGATTTCAGAGTTTCTTCACACAGCAAAAATAATAATAATAATACACACATGTATATAGCCATGTGTGCAATGTTTCACGCAAGAGACATCAGTATTTGTTTTTTGTTTCTCATGGCATCTAGCTAACTGTAGATTGCCATAGTTTAAAGCAAAAGTTTGTTCTTCAGAGATCGCACACGCTGAGTGCAATCAGAGCCTATATCCATGAATATGTTTTGAAGTGCATCAAAAGTGTACTTCAGAGYCTTTGGGTAAGAAATATTTACAGCATAGAGAAGGCCAAAAAGATATGCCAACGCTGTTGGAAGATCTTGGATGTCATCAAGAACTATTGCTTCCTCCAGAATAATATCGATGCTCTGCACTGATGTAGAAGMCACTGCTGCACCACAGTCCTCCAGAACAAACAGTAGGCCCACAGCCACACCCTTGGTTGCCTCTTCTTCTGGATCAGTCTCCTGTAGGCAAAGATTAGTGTTAACAGTTGAAACAAATCACACACTAGTCCAGGGCATGGTAGTTTCTGTCCTTCATGTTTTAGTTGTTTCCCTGCTTCAACACACGCTTACACAAATGACTGTCACTAACAAATCTGTATAAACTTTAATGACAGGCTAGCTGACTAGGACGACCTATTAAAACCATTCACTTGTGTTTCTTGCAGGTTGCCTATATATGATGGATCAATTACAATTATCTTGACCAATTCAGAGGGAGTGTGAACTGATAACAGATTTTTATTGGTTCTCATTTTCTAAAGAACTACAGTCTTGCAGTTGTTTTTAATTGTAGACTGCAAAAGTTTTTTTGGCATGTTTTAATAATTATTATTATTGTAATTATTGTTAAATTCGGGGATTACAGATTAAACGATTAAGCTAAAACTGGTGCAAAGCATCTTTTATTAATGTTTTATTTTGCACATTGTCCCTGTTAAATAAATGTTGACATGAAATATCAAAGGAAATATTGATATAGTCATTTTATGTTAAATATAATTTTTAAATAAAAAAGAAACTTGGGATTTTGTTAACATTTAACTCAAATAACTAAATACTAGTTACAGTTACAACAAATATAACTGCTGAAGTTAGAAATTCAGATTAATAGCTACAAAACAAGACTAGGCTTGTGAATTTACTCCAAAGGGTTCAAGAGAAGTACTTACTGTAACTCAATTTGTGTATGCGTTTAAAGGAAATTTAGGCCTGATTTTAAGGGGTTAACTCTGTTATTACTACACATATTTTCCACACTTGTGCCACAGTGCATGTAATGCATAAGCAGAACATAAGGGAATTATTAAGTTACTGGTCAGGCCAGACAYGCAATCAGTGGCATATTCTGAAATCAATTATCATTTAATCAAAAAAATTGTGCAATGTGATATGAAAACTTACAAGACACTCTTTGAAAAGTTCTTTGGGATCTTCACGAAGGAACACTGGAAGGCCTCGAAGTGCAACATCCCTGCGATGTCCAATGATGTTAGAGGTCTATGGAGGGTCAAAAAATGTAGTTACTTTAAAAAGTTTGCTAYACATACAAGGAAGCTAACTGACTACACATGACTAAACAATGTAGAACAAAKGCACAATTTTGTACCTCATCATCAAGTCTCCCAAGGAGATTTTCCATTTCCTTTCCAAAGCATCCTTTACGGGCACGGTATAGCCGCAGAAGTTTAGGGACGTAATTGTCCACTGCAGCTCTGAATGTCCCTATCAAATCTTTGTTTGTGATGCGGAAAAACTCCTCACAGATCTGTGAAGTACATAAACCATTATTTTCACAAGTTTACATCAAAATATCAGATACAGTAAAGTGAATAAGAAAATCATCCCAATTTCAGTTCAGTGCTTCCCCTAGGAAATTGGTCTGGGGGG